TGTTTCTCCTGTTGATTTTTCTCCTGTCTCCCCTCTATTCCACTTTTATTTTTCTTTTTATTAATTATTGCTGCACTGGGGGTACACTGTGACATTTCCAAAGGTTTGTACAATATATTATAGTTGAATTCACCCCTTACATCATTCTTATTCCCCCTCCTCCCATTCATGGAATAGTTCCAACAGGTCTCATTTTTCGATTTTAATACCTGAGTACAAAATATTTCTACCACATTCACTCTCCTACACCCTTCCCTTATAGCCTCCTTGCTCCCACTGGTACCAACTGCCAGATAGGACCTGTTTTACCTTTCTATCCTCCGTTTTTTGAAGAAAAAAAAGACATTTTTGTTTGTTTAAGATAGCTCTACAGGATGTTTCTTTGTGGTATTTCCATGTATATATGTATTAAAACCTGAATTTGCTCATACTTCTATTATTCTCTTTTCTACCTTAGTTCCCCTTTCATGGTGATTTCAACGGGTTTACATAAAAAGAAGCATTGTTTCAAGGAAACAATATATGAAATTTTCCATTGCAGAAGACTGTTTTCCTGAGGTGCAGAGGCTGGAAGAAGTGATTAATAGTGACTGTTCTCCCGATTGTCTGAGGCAGACAGTATGTGGGCATCTCCAACTTTGCTCTCAGTCACCCCATACATTCAACTTTCCAGCAGCACATGTCTCTTTTACATGTTCTCTTCCCACTTTTCCTTCTTGGTTCAAAGACTCAACCCCTCTCAATTGGAGAGCTGTACGATTTTGGTCTTTTTCCTGTACACTGGGTCTCACTTGTTACCAAGATAAAGCAAGACACAAATCTGCTGATGTCTTGCACCTGCTGAAAAGCCCTCCCTGGGTGTGGATTCCCTACAGGCATAAGTCCCTAACCCTAGCAGAGAATTCTGAACCTTTCCTGTTCTGGTGTCAGCTTCCCTGTCCTTTCTCCTGCCACGACCTAAGTGAACATCCCATCTTCTTTCCAACCTCCCTGCCTTTGCACAGGCTGTTTCCTTCACTCAGAAGTTTTCTCACACCCCAACTTCCAATTCCTACACATCCTTCCAGACCAAACTGGATTAGTCCCCTTCTGTGAAGCCTTCCCCAAGTCCCAGTCAGAATTGGTCACTTTTTTCATTGTCCTATTATTCTGTGGGTATGCCTCAGCTGTCAAGTTTACAGTACTCTGCTTCAAAGAGCTGAGTTTCAGTCATTCAATACGTATTTGTTGAGTGTCCACTATGACCCAGGCTCCATTCTTGGTGCTATGGATAAAACTACAAATTGGGCTAGACAAAGGCACAGCCCTCATGGTTATTTTCTATTCCAGTATGTCTCCTCTACTACGATGGGCCCAAGTCTTCAGTCAGTTAAGAACTCTCAATTTTATGGCTAATATATAGTCTCACCCAAGACATTCCAGTGTGGGAGAGAATGAGACCAGTTACTCACTGCCTGGTATCACCTATGCCAAACATACTTGCATCCATGGTAGGGAATGAACAGATATTTTTGAATGAAGAAATCATGGAAATTAGTTTTGAGAAGGGGAAAAACAAAAGTTAATTTAATTAATTTGAATTCTGTAAAAAGTGATCTTTTGATTGCCAGGATTCCAGACAAATTCAGTAGAATACATCACGTTTTTCTGATTCACAAGAAGCTTCTTTTCACTCCACCAGCAACATTTTCTTTTTGCAAATTTAATGTAAAGCATAGCTAACATAATGCTAGCAAATTCTGCTGTTAGGCAGTGCTGTCTCCACAGATCAACATGAGGAAGTCCATCACCAGTAAAGATCTGTCTTCCCAGTAGAATGAGGATAAGACTTAGTGTGTTGTGTTCTAGGGATCACTAATGTCCAGACTTGTAAATATTTCAATGAGTAAATGAAAGAACAAGAAGACAGAAAGATACATGAAAGGGCATGTTTTCAGGCAGAGGTAAGTAATTCACTTTGGCCCTCTTGATTCTGAGGACCACAGGACATTGAGGTAAGGAAGACCAACAGACAGAGAAATGTCTGACAGCATCAAATAATGCTTCTTTAGGAAAAATTGGGTAATTCTATGAGGAAGTCTCTTTGTTTGAATAACATTAAGAGACATAAAGTGTTTTGTGATAAAATTTTGCATTCTTCACAAAAGATACAACTTTTAACACGGAAGGAAAAAATGTGATTTGCCGAAGAAAAAATAAAATGAAAGGAAAACAAACAAAATACCAAGAATCTAAAGCAGTAGATATAGAAGTTGTAACCAAGCAAAACCTGTACCACTTAACAAAGACTGAAACTAAAAACATGACCTAAAGGTCAGTTCCTTGGGAATGATTTTTAGCTTATCATATGATGAATACATGAACATTACCAGGATTCAGTAGATTTTGGATAAACTATCCCACACCCATGCATATGCAATCAGAAAGGGGCATTTCATATTGGCAGTATATTGGCCTCCAATGTTCATGCCCTTTAATCCAGGAATTCCACTCCTAAGACTGTCTTCTAACAAAATGATTCTACTATATGCATTACAAGAGCTATGAAGTATGAGAAACAGCAAAAAATGGAAAATAACCCCAAAGTCCAACATGTAGTAAAGAGTTAAATTATATATACCATGGGCTGGGCACTAGTGGCTTATGCCTATAATCCTAGGTACTTGGAAGACTGAGATCTGGAGGTTTGCAGTTCAAGGCCCCATCTCCAAAATAATCCGAGCAAAATGGACTGGCTCAAGCTATAGAGCACTGTGCTGAAAGCATAAAGCCCCAAGTTCAAACCCCAGTCCCACCAAAAAAAATTATATATATATATCACAGAATATTATTTAACCCTTAAACATTCAGTAAAGCATAAAGAGAGTTAATAAAATGCTGTTACATTAAAAGCAGAAAAAGCAGCCTCTTCAACAAAAACTGCTGGGAAAACTGGTTAGCAGTCTGCAAAAAAACTGAAACTAGATCCATGTATATCATCCTATACCAATATTAACTCAAAATGGGTCAAGGATCTTAATATCAGACCACAAACTCTAAAGTTGGTACAGGAAAGAGTAGGAAATACTCTGGAGTTAGTAGGTATAGGTAAGAACTTTCTCAGTGAAACCCCAGCAGCACAGCAACTAAGAGAGAGCACAGATAAATGGGACCTCATAAAACTAAAAAGCTTCTGTTCATCAAAAGAAATGGTCTCTAAACTGAAGAGAAACTAAATTCTTCCAAAACTAATGAACCAATAAAGAAATGGGCAAGTGAACTAAAAGAACTTTCTCAAAAGAAGAAATTCAAATGGTCAAAAAACACATGAAAAAATGCTCACCATCTCTAGTAATAAAGGAAATGCAAATTAAAACCACACTAAGATTCCACCTCACCCCTGTTAGAATAGCCATCATCAGCAACACCACCAACAACAGGTGTTAGCGAGGATGTGGGGAAAAAGGAACCCTCTTACACTGTTGGTGGGAATGTAAACTAGAACAACCACTCTGGAAAAAAATTTGGAGGCTACTTAAAAAGCTAAACATTGATCTACTATTTGATCCGGCAATACCACTCTTGGGGATATACCCAAAAGACTGTGACACAGGTTACTCCAGAGGCACCTGCACATCCATGTTTATTGCAGCACTATTCACAATAGCCAAGTTATGGATACAACCAAGATGCCCCACCACTGACGAATGGATTAAGAAAACGTGGTATCTATACACAATGGAATTTTATGCAGCCATGAAGAAGAACGAAATGTTATCATTCACTGGTAGATGGATGGAATTGGAGAACATCATTCTGAGTGAGGTTAACCTGGCCCAAAAGACCAAAAATTGTATGTTCTCCCTCATATGTGGACATTAGATCAAGGGCAAACACAACAAGGGGATTGGACTTTGATCACATGATAAAAGCGAGAGCACACAAGGGAGGGGTGAGGATAGGTAAGACACCTAAAAACTAGATAACATTTGTTGCCCTCAATGCAGAGAAACTAAAGCAGATACCTTAAAAGCAACTGAGGCCAATAGGAAAAGGGGACCAGGAACTAGAGAAAAGGTTAGATCAAAAAGAATTATCCTAGAAGGTAACACACATGCACAGGAAATTAATGTGAGTCAACTCCCTGTATAGCTATCCTATCTCAACCAGCAAAACCCCTTGTTCCTTCCTATTATTGCTTATACTCTCTCTTCAACAAAATTAGAGATAAGGGCAAAATAGTTTCTGCTGGGCATTGAGGAGGTGGGGGGGAGAGGGAGGGGGTGGAGTGGGTGGTAAGGGAGGGGGTGGGGGCGGGGGGAGAAATGACCCAAGCCTTATATGCACATATAAATAATAAAACAATTAAAAAAAACCATCAAAAAAAATAAAATAATTATACATTTTTATGTCACCTGTGTAGAACACAGTTGTTTAAGGAGACAAAACTAAAGGAAAATGCTCTGAAGTGGTGCTAATAAGATAGTCAGGTCATACAATGCTTTTTTTTTTAAAGATTTGTTTTGTTATTAATAATAACTGCTAACATTTATGTGAAGCTTTTAATACTAAGTACTTAAAGTCCTTATTTTATCTCATAACAGAGATAAAATTAGTAGTCATATGAGACAGACACTACTAATGCTCCTATTTGAAAAACAAGACTACTGAGGTTTAAAGAGAATGAGTAGCTATCCAAGATCACCCACAGATCAGGTGACAGATCTGAGACTCCAGTCTGTGGCTCCAGTCTAGAAGTCTAGGCTTTTAATCACTATACTATCCCTTTTTTAAGTTTTGTTTTTCAATTAAATGATGTGTTGTTTTTAAAATAAGATCACATTAAAATCAAATGGCATTTCCTTTGTGATTAAAAGATGTACTGAGACCTTAACTGGATTAGCTCTAACTCTTAGAAATCAGTGTGGTGAAGGGTGGGAGAGAGAAGGGAGGTTGATGGAGGATGGCAGTCATTGGGCAGGCAGGGAGGGAGGGAATGTGGAGAGCTCCCTGGCACCCACCTCTTCCATAGCCTTTCTCATGCAGTTCTTCTTGGCAGCCTCCTGCAGCTCCATGGCCTGCTGAATGTACATTTTCCCAGTCAGAATTTCATTTTCCAGCATTGACAATTCTTTCAATGAAATTGGCCAATTCAATCGTTCCAATGCCTCATTTAAAGCTGCCTTGTTTTCCAAGTACTGTATTGGCTTGATTGCATCTAACCTGAAAAATAAACAAACAAAAATAAACAAAAGGAAAATAAAAGATCACAATAGAAAAAAATATATAACAAAATGGTTTCTCAGTAAACTCTCCCCTGAAAAACAGGCACTGATGTCAGATGACAGTCTCAGCCATACCCTCTGGTCCATCAGGATTTTGGAAGCTTATATAGGTAAAAAACCAATCATCTTTGTAAGTTCCGGTAGATTCTTTTACATATTGACTCATTTGATGACCTGGTTTTAAATATGTTTGATATACACAATTATTTTCAGTAACATTTCCCAGTAGATTTGGAGCCAATTTCTTTTTCCCTGTGCCTAACATCTAGAAGAACCAAACATGAGCTTCAAAGAGAATTCACACTACTATGCCTAGCACTGATTCTAGAAAGCAAAGTAAGATAAAGAACAAAACCAGACATTTACCTCAGTGAAGTAATTCTACTAGCTTGTTTTAGCTATTATGATCTTCTTTCCTCCACCTAAGCCTAAATAGACCTGGTTTTGTTGTCTGGTTACATAAGGAGCAGAAGCCAAACTTTCTATAAATCCATGAACAGTCTATTTTATCCTAGAGGAAGCTAACATGGTGTGACAGCCCAAGTCCTACAGTCTATTTTCAGTCCCAGCTGTTCTGAGTCAGACATCTCTGGAAGAGGAGGGACTTGGAGGTAAAAAAATCACATTTCTTTTATTACTTAAAGCATCATGCTGGGTGCTGGTGGCTCATACCTATAATCCTAGCTACTCAGGAGGCAGAGATGAGGAGGATCACGGTTTGAAGCCACCCCAGGCAAATAGTTTGTGAAACCCTGTCTTGAAAAACCCTTCACAAAAATAGGGTTGGTGGACTGGTTCAAGGTGAAGGCCCTGAGTTCAAGCCTCCAAACTGAAAAAAAAAAATTTTAAAAAGCATCACTTATTCCTTTAGATGGCAGATATTGGCAGAGTAAACTCAGCAAAACCACAAGACTAAATCCATAAACAAAACTTCTCTAGAATACAACACAAAGTTCATATTAAAATTTAAATTGGAAAGATGTCACCAAGATGGTGGACTAAGAAGCCCCAGGCCCTGACCGCCCCACAGAAACACAGATTTAACAATGATACACTGACCAAATTTGAGAATTCTAGAGGCCAATGAAATTGCAGCACTTCAAACAAGTACAAAGATAAGAGGAGTCACACCTAATGGGGTAAAAAACTTTGTTGCATTTTGCCTGTCACAACTTCCACCTTTCCCCAGAACAGTGTAATGCAGTGGAAGAAAACTCCCAAATTCTGGTTTCTCCCTTAGAGGGAAAGAGAATGGAATGTGTACCCAAAGTTCTCAATTTTCAGGTGCTCCCTAAGGAATTGGTTTCTGTCTTGTCTGACTTACAGTGCTGACAGCAACAATGGTATGTTTTGGATTCAAGGTTGGGGTCTGCTGAGAACAAATAGGAGTGTCACTGTTTGCAATGGCAGTAGAGATACTATAGTACTATAGAGACACATTGGTGGAGCAAGAGCTTTCAAACTCCTGAGAAAAACCAGGGAAAACTTAAGAGAAATTGCACACTTAAGACCAGCGAAGACAAATTCCCAGAAAAAGTTTGTGAGATTCCCAGAATCTTTAGATGAGATGGGATGATTAGTAAAGTCTTTCCCCTGTAATAAGCCAGTCTTTTCTTCCAGTAAAGACTGGAAGAGGTATCATTTTTCAAGTACCCTAATCTCAACTAACGGTCACAAAGCATGCAAATATATGGGGAAACATGGCCCAATCAGATGAACAAAATAAATCTCCAGAAACTGGCCCTTGAGAAATAGAGATATATTAATTACCTGACAAAGAATTTTTTAAAATGTTAATGATGCTTGATGAGCTAAAAGAGAAAATATATCATGAAAGAAAATGAGAGAAGTATGCATAAACAAAATGAGAATTTAAACAAACAGAAAGAAACTATAAAAAGGGACAGAAGAACAGAGCAGAAATTCTAGAACTGAAGAATGGAACTAAATTGAAAAACTCACTAGATGGAGTTCAACAGCATACCTGATCAAGAATAAAAAAATCAGTAAAGTTGAATAAACTTTAAATAATAAATTGTTGTAAAAGATAAAGAAGGACATTATATAGTGGTAAAAGGATCAGTCTACTATGAAGATATGACAAATACACACACACACATACACACACACACACACACACACCCCTGACATCAGAACTCCCAAATATATGAGTCAAACATTCACAGAATTGCAGGAGAAATAGATGGCAACCTTAAGAGTATAATATGATACTCTACTTTCAATAATAGAACAACCACAAAGAAGATCAATTAGGAAACAAAAGACTTGAATAACAGACCAATTGCACCTAACTGACATAGATAGAGCACTTTGCCAAACAACATTCTTATCAAGTGTACATGGAATATTTTTCAGATTAAATCACATATATTAAAATCACATGTATTTTAATCACAAGTCGTAAAAATTTTAAGACTACTGAAAGCATAAAAAGTATGTTTTTCTGAGCAAAGGGTAGTAAAGGTAGACATAATAACAAAGGAACAATTGGAAGACTAAAAATTAAACCACCTACTCTTAAATAACTAATGTGTCAAAGAAGAAATCAGGAGAAATTAGAAGATGTCTTAAGATATATGAAAATGAAAACACACATACAAAAACTTGTGAAATGGAGTGAATGTAGTATTAAAAGGGACGTTTATAGTGGCAAGTATTAAAAATGAAGGAAGATCTTGAATAAACAACTTAGCTTTACCTCTCAAGGAACTAGAAAAAGAACAAACTAAAGCCAAAGTTAGCAAAAGGAAGGAAATAAAGATTAGAGTAGAAAATAATTGAAATAAAGTATAGGAAAACAATAGAAAACTCAACGAAACTAAGAGCTTTTTTTTAATAGATCTATAAAATAGGCAATTACTTAGCTAGATTAAGAAGCAAATGGAACCCCAAAGCAAGCAGGAGTGGCTCTATTCATATCCACAAAGCACACCTCAAAACAAAATAAGTCATAAGAGACAAAGAATATTACTTAATGGTAATAAAGCAATACATCCAGATGATAAAACACTTGTAAATGTACCCACATCAAATGTCAGCATCCCAATTTCATTAAAAATATTGGACATAAAGGCATAAATAAAATAATAAATGAAAATAATACTGGGTGATTAATACCACATTCTTACCAATAGAGAGATAGTTCAGAATCACCAAAGAAACTTCAGGGTTAAACTACACCAATGTCCATTTGGACTTAGCAGACATCTACAGAGTAATCCATCGAATAACTGCAGAATATACAGTCTTCTCAATAGCCATGGAATGTTCTCCAAAACAGATCATATTTTATGATATAAAGGAAGTCTTAACAAATATAAGAAAACTGAAATAACTTCTTGGTTTTTTAAATTCAGATCACAATGGAATAAAACTAAACATCAAGAGCAAGAGAAACTTGAGAAAATATACAAACACATAGAGACTGAACAATGCACATTTGAACAACCAGTCATCAAAGAAATCAGAGGGGGGGTTATAAAAATTCCTATAATCAAATGAAAATTAAAACACAAGTTACCTGTGGGATATAGTGAAAACAGTTCTAAGAAGGAAGTTGGTAGCTATAAACGCTTACATTAAAAAATCAGAGCTACTCAAATAAATAACTTAATGATACACCTCAAGTTCATAGAAATACAAGAACAAGTCAATCCCAAGTTTAGTAAAAGGAAAGAAATAATAAAGATCTGAGCTGACACTAAAGAAATACAAAGGATCAGTGAAATAAAGAGTTGGTTCTCTGATAAGATAAACAGGACTGACAAACCCTCGTTCACACTAACCAAGAGAGAGAAGTTACAAAGTAATAAAAGTAGAGTAAAAAAGGAAATATCATAACAGATGCAATTAAATTTCTACACAAACATGACTTACTAAAATCAACCCAAGAAGATATATGAAACCTTGTTGCTATAGTGAGCAACAAGATCCAAGCAGTAATAAAAGTTTCCCAACAAAGAAAAAGCCCAGGACAAGATGGATTCACTGCTAAATTCTACCAGACTTTTAACAAAGAAAATCCTCCAAATATTCCATGAGATGGAAAGATAAATAATGCCACCAAGCTCATTCTATGAAGCCAGTATACCCTGATACCGAGACTGGATATGAACACAACAATACAAAAGAAAACTATAGGCCAATTTCTTTGATGAACATAGAAAAATTCTTAATAAAATGCTTCCAAACTGAATTCAACAAGACATTAAAAAGAACATATCCATAATCAGTAGTGCAGATGTCTATCATATATATGTATATTATATATACAAAGAGAAAGAACAGTATGAATAGTTACATGCCAAAAAATAGATAATCTAGATAAAATGGACAAATTCCTAGATAATACAAAGGACCAAAACTGACTTCGGAAGAAATACTTTTCAACAGTGTATAACAATTAAAATCACTGAATAAAGACTCAAAACTTCCCCCAAAAGTTCACTTCAGAGGTGAATTCTAAAAAGAAAACATCAATTGTTCGCACACTTTTCCAAAAAATAAAAGAGGAAAAACACAGTCACAGAATTACCCTGACACCACCGCCAGGCAAATATTCCCAAGAAAACTACAGACCATTTTTCCTTATAAATATAGACACAATACTCTTTTTTTTTTTGGGGGGGGAGTGGAGAAAAAAAGAAGCTGGACGGGGCGTCCGCCCCCGCGAACCTCGGGCGATCGGGAGAGCCCCGCCCCGCCCCGGTCGCGCCACCGTCCCCCCCCCACGCCCCCTCCCCGCGTCCCAGTCCCGGGCCCGCGAGGCCCCGGCGGAGAGCGGGGAGGGCGCGCGCGCTCCCGGACGCGGGGACGGCGGGAAGAGAGAGGCCGGGCCGCGGCGAAGGGAGGGAGGCGCTTGCCGAGGAGGCGGGGGGTGGGGGGGGTGGGGGGGGTGGGGGGGGAGGTTTTTTTCCTGGGGTGATGAAAAAGGTTTGAGCCTAGGAAGAGGTGGTGGTTTGCACAATGTTTTGAATATTCTAAATACCATTGGATTGTACACTTTGAAATCATTAGTTTTTGCTTACACAAATTTCATTGAAATTAAAAAATAGTGATGAAGGAATGGAACATGGCTTACTTTTCTTTCTCCTCTTGCGATAATGCTTGCCAAACAATTTTATTCAAGCGCCTGTTTTTAAAAAAAAGCAATGGCAGTAATTTAGAAACAAAACTTCATTTCATGGCAAAGGATTAACTCCAGGCAGAGCCCAAGCCCAGCGCCATCCCACTGGACCAATGCCACTGAATTCTGCTTAAAAAACACTGGATATGAGTGCGTCCCTCTCCCAGAACCACTGCAGGAAACTTTGGCTTTGTGGCAGCTGTGTCAAATGTTAAAGGCAGGCTCAGCTCTCAGCTGTCAGAGTAAATGCAGTAAACAAAACTTGTCCTTATCTTTTTTGCATTAAGTTTCTAGACACCCACTCTTTTCCCCTGAGGGGAACATAGCTGTGTCCTTAGATTGCCTTCTGTAGACACTCTTCTGCCTGGATTCTCAGAGCTCTGGCTTCAGGCGGTAGTCTCCATGAAAAACTGCTTCAATAAAATGAGGTGGGGAACACCACCCTCTCCAGGAGGAGTTCTGCCCATGCGGCCAGCATGTGTTTGGATGGAGGACTTTACCTGCTCTGCTGGCCGGTCATAAGCCTGGGGAAAAGGCCAAGGGAGTCTGGCATGGAGGAAGGGCACAATCCAAGCCGTGCAGGGGCCCAAAGCTCAGTTAGCATTTCCCTTTCCTAGCTGTGAGACTGTGAGCCATTATCAAACTTTGCAGTCAACTGAGGTAACAGTAGTGTCTCCTCCTAGGGAGCTGAGGACTCCACGAATTCGTCTGTGCACAGCACATGTAATTGTGTCTGACACAGGAAAATGCTTGTAAGAGTCAGGAAGAGGGAAACTGGTACTTCTGTGTCACTTGAACTGTTCTTTGGAGCCTATTTAGAAGCTGGGTTTCTTTAATTGTGTGGTTCCTATAATGGCGTCTAAGACTTAGTAAAAGATTCATGGCATGCTTTTCCCTAAAATAAAACTTCAAAATCCTCACAAATCCAAACTAGAAAGTGGCTCAGTGTAATGGGAGTGGCTAGAGTGTGGGCAAGGCTTTACAGCAACATGGGTCTGTGATGTTGACTTGCAATTAGAATAAGCTGCAGAAATATAATTCCAGAACCCAGATGGCACTGGAAATACTCCAAGCATCCTTTTGCTGCTTTGAAATCCTGTGTTACAGAACTGTTGTCTCAGTTATTTTAATTGCAATTCTAAAGTCAAGGTCACAGCCCTAAATATCCCCAGGAGAAACCTCAGTCCTAACCTGGCTCAGAGACCACACGTAGAAAACTATGGTCACCTATTTGTTGAGTTACTGGCTGATCCAATATCTGAAGTGCATTAGTCACAAGTTGCTTTGTAAATGAGTTAATCATTGGTACAGGTAGATTTGAATACTAGATACAGAATGCAACCCCTCAATTGACAAAGCACGGAAAACATTACCTATCCTTGGCATTGAGAGGATGAAGTAAGATAAATATATAAAGTGACCTGGGATAACTCAGTGTTCTTTGTCTCCAGGCTTAGAAACTTGGAGAAACCATTGGTGAACGTGGGTCCAATAAACTAGAAAATGTCTCAAATTTTAATCCCATCCTTCAGAAAACATTTTTGTAAGAGCACATGATTGTAACCTCTGTTATTCCTCTATTGTCTATCTCCACTGAAATATTTTAATGCTCTACTGAGCAGGGTGGTGGCTGTAGGAAACCACTAAGTGTATGAGATGAGGAAAGTTCATTTGGCATGAAAGAGGGTTCTGGATGTGAGGGCTTCTCTGAGACTGGTCCAGCCCCTTGATTCAGGGTTTTTATTAATTTATTATGTTTTCACGTTTATTGTAGGAAAGTGAAATTTTATTGAAGGGTTGCATTCACTGTTTCTGTTTCTAATATTTCTAGTATTCAAATCTACCTGCACCAACAACTGACTCATTTGCAAAGCAACTTGTAGCTAATGACACTTCAGATGTTGGATCAGCCACTAACTCAGCAAATAGGTGGCCATAGTAACGTTTTCTAAGCCTGGTTCCTGAGCCAGGTTAAAACTAAGACTTCCTCTGTGGGTGTGAGGGCTGTGATATTGACTTGCAATTAAAATAAGTTGCAGAAATATCATTTCAGAACCCATATGGCACTGGAAATACTCCAAGTTTATGCTCAGACATGAAAAGCCAAAATTGCTGACTCAATTCTTGGCCACATATGGACACTAGGACCAAAATGGCTAGTAGATGTCATTATTTTGGCAAAAGACTGAACTTCCCATTTGCTTGGTCATCACTAACTATAATGGATTTAAGGCTAGGTGAAGTTTACATTTAAAGTTATATCTAGGACTGGCTATGTAGCTCAGACAGTAAAGCCCCGCGCTGCAGGCGAGAAGTCCTGAGTTCAGTCTTAAAACTGTGGAACTAACTAACTAACTAACTAACTAACTAACTAACTAAACATTAAGTAATGAAGTTACTTCGGCTTATTTTTGCTGGGAAACTCCTTTTAATGTTACATTGGAGACTGGAGGATTAATCATTTCATCACTTTTCATGCTTTACATACCTTGAGAAAGGTAACCTTAAGATATAAAGGGAATTAACATTTACACCAATAAAATTCTTACCTTTTTACGGTATTAAGGATCAAACCTAGGGCCTAGCATATGCTGGGCAAGCACTCTACCACTTGAGCCAGGCCCCAGTCCTTGAATGCAAAAGATAAGGAAGTTTTTGTTCGGTGTGACATTAATGTTAATCTTGATATTAAATTAATATTAATTAAGCAATCTAATATGAGCACCAAATTAATAATACTATGTAATCAATGTTAAACCAATAATCTTAAACATTACTGTACATAAGTTATATTAAAGTTAATTTTATGAATATTAAAATTATTGTCATTATTAGTAATAAAAATATATGGGTTGAGTCTCTTACCTGAAATTTTAGGAACCACATGTGTTTTGGATTTTTTTCAGATTTTGAAATATTTGCATATATATAATTAGACATCTTGGGAATGGGACTCAAATCTAAACACAAAATTCGTTCATGTTTCATCCACACCATATCCACATAGCCTAAGGGTAATTTAGTCAGTATTTTTAGTGCACCTGCATTGTTTTACTGCAACTTGTCACATGAGGTCAGGAAGAGAATTTTCCACTTTAGTGTCATATAGGTGCTCTGAAAGTTTTGGGTTTTGGAGCATTTGGCATTCTAATTTTTGAGTTAGGGATGCTCAATTTGTAGTGACAACATTGCTCTAGAGGATACTAACAGGCTTTTCCAGACTCACTCATTGGGAGTAAAGAGAGGGACAGGTCACTTACTAAATCTGTATTTTCATTTTGCTTTTAAGGAGGCAGCACTTTTCTGCCTGAGAACGGGTGTGTGTCCGTGTGTCCGTGTCTGTCATGGGACACTTGAGAAAAAGCTCATGTACTGCCAAGAGCTGTGTGACTGATTATACATTAGGTGTTTGTGGTTATTTTAGGATCAGCAGATTCAGGGGATGAAGGGGGCCAGTAATTCACATTATTGCTCTTTATATATGATTTACATACGCCTCACAACAACCCAGTGAGATCGGTTCTGTAAATAAGGAATTTGAGGCTTATGAATGTCATGTACTTTTCCAGAGTAGATGTCAAGCCAAGAATGAAACCCACGAGTACTGGCTGATCTCCACTTTCTAGCTTGTGGCCCCACACCAGGTGCTCACAGATGAGAACTCAAATAACTGAATTATTCAAGCAAATTACAGGAGAGTGTGAATGTTATTATATTACATTTTGAATATCTGAATTTGAAAAATTTTAATAACTAAACTGGAATCATATCAAATTTGAATTAAATTAAAATAGCCAAATACACAGACAACCTGCTAAGAATACATGAAGAAAAGATTGGTCAACCCTATGGCCTAAAAGCTGTAACCTAGTGGACAGAGATGTTTGATAAGCCATAGGCCTGTGCAGTAGCTATGAGGGCTACAGGGGCACACACACAGAAGGCATGGTGAGGGACTAATGAAAACCTCTCTGAGGAGGCCATTGAATCTAAGACAAGAGTTGATGAAAGACCAGCTAGGGGACAGCAGCATGGCAGGAAGGGGAGCAAAACTTGGGGGCCCTTAAGGAGAAGCCTGCCTGGAAGGGTCAGATCTATGGGACAGGTGGTGAGTCATAGCACAGTTCATCCTGCCATCAAGAGAAAGGAAGAGAGCAGGTTAAGACTCAGGGAAGTATGGGATGAGCATTCTTAATTAAAAAATCCTAAATGATCAAAATCTAAAAGCTTCTAAGTGGTGATATGACACTGTAAGTGGAAAATTCCACATGATAATACTTCACACCCTACACAAAATTATTTAAAATACTGTATAAAAGTACCTCCAGGTTCTGTGCATAAGGTGTACAAAAAGTAAATGGATTTTGTGTTTATCTTGGGTCTCATTTCCAAGATAGCTCATCATGTATACACAAATATTCTAAAATCTGAAAAAAATATCCAAAATCCGAAACACTTCTGATTCCAAAGCATGTTGAATAAAGGAGACTCAACCTATACCAAAGAGCCCACGGAGGCTACTGAAAGAACCCACATAAGACTGTGTCAGTCCTTATTGGGAGAATGGTGGGAGAGGCTGAAGCTGAAAGGGGTTTGGAGAGGCCTGTGCTGGCATGGTGGGGAAAGGCCTTTCAGAGGGCTGGATTGTGACTCCCTGTGGGCACGAGTCAGGTCTTAAGCTTGTTTTGAACATACAGTAGAGACTGCAAAATGACGACTAATAAATGCTTAGCTGAACACATCAATCCTTACATTGGGCTTCATTTCATTTTGCCTGTCACGTGATGGTAAAAGAAAGCATAACTGCACAGCTTCCAGAATGAAGAAGAGGTTTGCCTGAAAAATCTGGGTGTGGTCGAAGTTCAATGAACTGCTGTATACCAGGATTAATTCTATGCTAGGGGTGGGGGTGGTTAGGTCATGGGCAAGGGGGGGTGACTGGATCATCTATTGCTGAGGAGCATGGACACAGGAACTGTGGGAGAGTAGAATTTTCTCTGTAAGTCAACTTGATTATCATCTTGAACTTGACACAAAAAATTTAAATAATAATCTGTACTTATACAGTCATCCCCAGAATCCCTGGGGGCTTGGTTAGGAGGATTGGTTCCAAGGATGCTCTGGCCCCTTACATAAAAAAGCATAGTATTTGCATGTAATCTACGTACACCCTCCCAAACGGTAAATCATCTCTAACTTATTATGATACCTAATACAATGTAAAATCTATGTACATATTCGTCATGCTATATTATCTAGGGAATTGTGACAAGAAAACAAAGTCTGGACATGTTCAGTATAGATACATGTTTTTTTCTGGATAATTTTTGAGCTGCAGTTGGCTGAATCAGCAAATGTGGAACCCAGGGATATGGAGGGCCAACTGCATTATCTCCATTTACTCATTTCTGTGGAGTTTTATTAGTCACTTTACAGAATGTCAGATGCCAAAATGGTCACCTTCGCTGTCATAAAAGGAAAAATTTAAAGATCTCATGGATACAGGAGATTTCAATGGAGTTGGGAAAGGGAAATTGCTTCTTTAAAACCCTGAGACAGTCAGGTAAAGGATTTAATGCACTGTCTGGCACATGGGACGTCCCTATGTGAACTGCCTGCTTTTGTTAGTAGACAATTTTTAAGTTGCTGTTTTCAATAAGACAATTTAAGCTAAAACAAGAAAATAAGCTAAAACAAATACCGCATCCATTTAAGAGCAGTCAGGAATGATACTCACTTTTCATAGGATTTAATTGCCTGTTCCACTTTTTGCTTGTAGATGTTGAGTTTGACTCCTTGGGGGTTAATTAATGTCATCTTATTTGTGTCATTGCACACATGTGCTAGAGGGAACACCTGCACATCAACACGAAAGGAAAGGAAGTGTCACTTGACAGGTTAACACGAACCTTCAGAAGTCTGTTCACATGGCTGTATGTTTTTCTAATTAGAAAACAATAGATTAAAAATAGAAAGATTAGGGCTGGAGACATGGCTCAAGTAGTGGAACATTTGTCTGGCAAACATGAGGCCCTGAGTTCAAATCCCAATACCACCAAAAAACATGTACCAAAATTACAATATGTAGTTAATCACAAAGAAAAAATACCAGAGATATCATTGCTAACCTTTTCCTTCCAATTTTTAAAACTATGTATTTTAAGTCACTATCACGACACACTTACGCAAACTAAAAATGACAACAAAACCCCCAAAACTATTTCAGGAAACCCTAATCAGATTGAGTATTATCTTTAGAAGCTTCTATAACAAGTTGGTAAGAGCAGGCAATAAAAAAATAGGATGCCATAAATATATATAATTTTATGTGTTAATAAAATTCAAAAGAGAAATAACATATTAAGCACTGTGCCATCACATATAAAAAAGGAAAAAAAAAGAAATAGGCTCTCACTGTTGCTTCTTTGTAAATTACTAGTTGGGTAAGTACCTTTTTCACATGTTTATTTCACATTTTATTCTCATTTGAGAATATCTGATTATAGTATAACCATTTCCTTATCAGTTTGTAAGATATTTTTATAGATGTCAAACAAAGAAGGCTTACTGGTCAATGAGCCCACATGCTACAAGAATAGCAGACTGCCAGAGATTCTTCTTTTGAGTTCTGTCTGATACAGGTGTTTACCTCTGATTTTTGAAAAACTTCTGATTCTATGACAGGTAATTCCAAGGGATAAAATTGTAAACTTATTGCTGGTAGCGAATTCTGGCCTCCCTCCTCAATTCTTTTGAGACCATTCTGATATTAAATTTCATTCATTGCAACTCCATGTATTCTGTCCAAGATTAGTAGTTGTTATTCAATGGGAGAGTCAGGGTGAATGCTTACCCCACCAGAATCAGAACCCTCTGACAGTCTTCTCTTTCCAACTCTGCTTTCATCCTAATAGTACCTATAATTTTATGTTTACCTAGCTCCATACTACCCATTTCTCCTTAGCAGAACGTGAGCTCTTTAAATGCATAAACTTTGTTTTATTCACTACTGTGTTCCTATTGCCTAGCACAGTAGCTGACATAAAGTGTACCCTCAACAAATATTTGTTGATAAATGAATGAATTCATGATTATGAAGCATTATTATTCCATACTTAATATTTAAAAGAAAAAGTCTAACATGAAGATACTAAACTATACTATCATTGTTTCAAAGTTGTGTAGATTCTGACCATTAAGTAGTCTATAGTTATTTTAGAAATGTGAGGAATTACTTTTAAGAAGGAAATTTTTTTAGTTTCAATCAAGATGATATAGTTCATGCTTTTATGTTCATCCCTTGCCTTTAAAAATCATATAAAAATTTATGATACTATTATAGTTCAAGAAAATAATTCAAAGAAAGAAGAGAAGAGAAAGAAATGTGCATGGTTGATAAATAGATTTTTAGAAATAAAAAGCTGAATAGAAATGTGAACAAGTGAGGAGGGTGGAAGCGGTGGGCTGTTGGCTCTGTGCCTGAAGATGGCAAGACAATGGGAGCTGAACTGGAAAGCAAGTGGGACTGAGTGCTCTGAAAATCAGGGCCTGCATCAGGCTCAGTGACTAAGCTCAGCTCTGGTAGGAGGGCCTCACACCTGAAAGAAGACCTATAATGGGATGGGAGCAGGGGCAGCAAGAGGATGGACTTAGGCAACTACAAAACAGAAGGAGAAAGAAGAAAAAGAGTAGGTTTCAAAATCTTGTTAAAGTGAGCCAGCATACAAAAATTCTCAAACACACACTACAAAAATAAGATGTTAAAAATGATAGCTGAGTAAACCAACAATCAGAATGTCAATGGACTTAAGAAATTAATTTTATGAGCCATCTAACAATGACTTTAAATTAATTATGATTAAAATGACTTATGATTAAGCTAATCAAAGACATAAAGGACATTTAAAATTATAAAAACTTATTGAAGTGAATGCCATAAGAAAAAATGGATGCGGAAAAGCAAATTTATCTATTTATTTTCTTTATTCACATGTGCATACATTGTTTGGACCATTTCTCTCCCCTGCTTCCCGCCCCCTCCTTCTCCCCCGCACCTGCCTCGCTTCCAGGCAGAACCTGTTCTAACCTTTTCTCCAATTTTGTTGAAGAGTAGACATAAGCAATAGTAAGAAAGACATAGTAGAAAAAACAAATTTAAAAGCCTATCTTGAAGAAAAGTCATTGGAACTGAAACAAAAAAAAATCATCCTAACAAAATAATCTTAATAGTCTAAACTAGATATATTGATAATTGAGAAAGGATGGAGAACTAGGAGATAGTAATAGATTCCCCAGAATACAGCATAAGAATTCAGACAGTAGGTGATGATGGATAGATGGGTAGATAGATAAGAGGCCGAGAAACTTCAACATTCTTCCCAGAGAATAGAAGATTGTTAGAGAAGCAACATTTGAAAATGTGCAGGCTTTACAAAACGGTGGCTGTTGTTATAGTGTTAAGTCACAAGGGCGTTGGATATTATGATTAGGGCTGGCAAAGTAAAGCTGTATTATAAGAAAGCGATTAGGTGTGGTCACATTCTTTGTGTTGTTTGGGGGAGGGGGTCCATTGTACAGCAAGTGCAAAGGCTGCCTGCTAAGGTCAGCTCAGATGGGATGGGGTGGGCTGCATGCAGCTCGGGTCAGAGGTTCAGCTGCTGTCTATCTGAGCTCTAACAATGACCTTCACAACTCCATTTTCAGTATCCTGAACGGATACTACTCCATTTCGATTCTTTTCTTGACAGTATAAAGTTGTAAACCTATACATTTTAGTACTTTTGTATTAAAAATATTAAAACATATATGGAAACACAGGCTATTGTTTATCTCTGGGACCAGACAAGGTGGCACAGGGGTCCTCAACTTTACCTGCAATGGTTTATTTTGAAAAGTATCTAAAACATACATAATATTAGATATAAAATTATCAACAGTGGTTACTTCTATAACTTTTCATGACAAGTGAGGGGGTACATCTTTTACTTCTTACTGTTTCATTTTTTTAAAACTACATATATTAATTTTATAATTAAACCATCAAGACACAAAAAACCCAAAATAATAGGCAAAGATTTAGAAAGCTGAAGAGAAAGAAATGAAGTTAAAGCCTTCATAGTCCAACCTAGCTACTTACAAACCACACGAATTTTGCATGTGGTTTCTAAAAAATTCTTATCAAAGGAAAGAGACCAGAGCAGTGGGCTAAAGGTGAGATAACTGGACTTTGAAACTGAAGCTTGCATAAGTAGAAAAAATCATCTCTCAAAATAGAGCTAATGTTACATAAACTTTCAGAGGAAAAAAATCAATCCCAACAAAATGAAAGGCACTTATGTTTTCTTTCCCCTGCAAAAAAATACCCTTTTAGAAGTCTATATATAGTTCTCCTAGTTTGCCAACTATGGCCCAAGTGCAAATCAATTCCACAAAATATTTAGCAACATTATAACATTTCACCATGATCAGCTTCACTCCTGACTTCATGTACTTAAAGAAAGTCCACTGTGTTCTACTTTCCTCTCTCTTGGATTTACATCTCATGCCTTGTGTGGCCATCATGCACTTGGGTGCTGTAGTTCAGATTTGACCTGTGGGCACCCTCTCTCCTTGCTTTCTGCATGTAGGTTTAGGAAAAGACAAAGTCATACTCCACACCTTCAATCTGTGGTCCTAGTTTTCACAACATGACGGTGACATGTGGTCAGATGAGGTATTCTCTTTATGATGTCAAATTGAGTGTGAGATCATAAAGGGCTTGCTCAGGTTTTGGGGGATCAGAATTATGGCTCCCCAGCTTCTGTAAGGAACAAGTGTTTCCAGAAGTGGGGTTTGTGAAGAAGCCTGGGGCTCTGTTTGAGGGGGAATAAAACCACCTAAGCATAGTGCCTTTGGAGATGCTTTCTTAGGACTTCTATGATGCAAGCAGGGACCCTTCTGGACAATGTGGTAACAAAAGGGAGCCTCAGGTATTACCTACTTCAGTTCTCTTGAGATTAACCCAGAGGCCTTATCGAATGGAGGCACAGCTAGAGGGTGTGTGTGTGTGTGTGTGTGTGTGTGTGTGTGTGTGTGTGTGTGTTGGTGGGTGTGTGGAGAAGGAGAAATGGAGGGAGGGAGAGGAGGAAGGAAGGAAGGAAGGAAGAAAGAAAAGAAGGAAAGAAAGAAGAAGGAAGGGAGGGAGAAGGAGGAAACCAATGACCATAAAAGCAGAAGAAATTGTTGGAATTCATGAGGAGGTCAATTTGGGCTGATTGTTAGAGTTTTTTCCACTGTTAGATGAAATTCCCTAAAGCAATCACTGAACTCAAAATAACTATTGATAATGCTAGGAACTAGGCTTTCTCTACATATTTTGTCATCTAATCCCTCTATAAACATTTAATATAGTTTTTGTTATATGACTTTTCTTTCCACCAAACTCTGTAGTTCTTTATTTTCTTTTTAAAAATAATAGTTTATGGCACTATATACAAACAAAATAACTTTATTGAATGCATGAAAAACTAAAACTATATATAAATTAGAATGATGACTGAGGCCTCTCAAGTTTTTAAAAGATTATCTTATTGTGAAATGTTATTAAGTTTGTATTGCATTAAAATTGAATTCTCAGTAATTGGGGCACAGGGTGAACTGCAATTTTTACCATTTTTAAAGAGAAGCTTGCTAAGAACATGAATAATATGAGTTTAAACTCTAGTACTGCCAAAAATTTTTTGGCTGTCCCATGCTATTAAATTACTTAGGGCTGTTTAAGATACTTCCATGTTCTGACATTTAAGACCTCTTGTCAGGTAATGTGACCCTATTGGGAGTGTTCTAATTGTGATCCTCATTTTAGAAAAAAATAACAC